CCCCAAAACCCCAAAACCCCAAAACCCCAAAACCCCTAATAGAGATTACTTAATTGAAATCAGTAATTATGAAAAGAAGAATTTTTAAAGCGATACTGCAAAGCAATCAGGCCTTATTTAAAAGGAAACATAAAATAAAGAAGAAAGTTAGTACTTTCATTCACACTTTGAATAAAAATCCTCTTCTCATAAAAAAAATTAGCCTCTCTTATTGCTGATATTCTTCCATCTCGGCCTTCTTCGCAGATTTTCGCTTCTTAACCAAATCATTACGCGTTCATCTTCTCCATCCTGGTAACGTGTCTGCATCGCTATATATTTTCTTCTAGTCTGCCTTATCATATACTCTATCTCTAATATTTGTCCGAGATTTAATGAAACGGTTTTAAGCTTAATAAGGTAACTTGCTTTCAGGAAATTTGTAATGCTTGCTCATAACTTTCTCAGGTGCAACATATCACCTTGATTTTACTAAGATTTCTCTATTTGGTATTTCATGCTAGGGTTAAAACGTATGCCAGAATGAAGTCCCAGTTTTCCATCAATTCAAATCACAGGAAAGTAAAGATGAATAAATGTATAACTACTAGGATGTCTATAATTAGGATTTTCAAGTCAAGATTTCAAAGGTGCATGAGGTTCCTCTTCTCTGAGGCCTTTTGTCAATTATTTTATAAAACCTCATAAATAGGTTCGAAATAGCTTTTCACAATTTTATATACTAAAAATTCTTCGAAAAATTTAATTCGTTGAACAAATAATCGAACGAGTTTATCTAAACTTTTCGAAGAACATATTGTCTCGAAAATCTCTGATTTTAGAATAATTAAGCTGTCGATTGCAATGATTACAAAATAAATGCATAATACACTATCATCATAAGAACTTTCTGAAGATTTTTCAGCGAATGGTCCTATTTATACCTCAAAATGAAGATACGGATGCCTGAAACTCAAGCTAAACTGCCTGTTGAGACTATTATTTGCCTGTTGAACACTTTTACCAAGTTCAAATCAAACTAGGAGCCATTAAATTCAGAGACTAGGCCTCAAACAAGTTATAACTTAGTTTTGATTCCTTATCCATAAGCCATGTTATTCTTCTTAAGTCAATGAGGAGACTTACTAAGCCTCCTCTTAGACTTAGAGCTTAATCCCAGTCATTTATGCCTAGGGTGCAATATTTCTCCCCAAAATGAGTGCTAAACCTAAAAGCTGGAGTACTTTTTTCTAATAAAATAGCCCAGTAGTTCTTTCTGAGCAAGAATTCATCAAAGTTGTAACGAATAATAATTAAAGTATAACTTTATGAAGCAATACAGGCTAAGGAGCTTTATGGGAAGTTTAGAGCAAGAAATTGGGTTAGTACGATTTTGGAATGTTTTAAGAAGAATTTCAGGATTTTTTGAAAATTGGGTCATAACTAGAAATAAAGTAAGAATCAAAAAATGTTGATTTTGAGAGTTTAGAAGAGGTTTAGTGGTGGTTTGAGGTTTTATGGGCTTATAAAACTTAATTTTGATATAGAGTGTTGGGACTTGGATTTTCTAAGGCTGCTTTTTAGGTTTATATGACTATCCATATTTTTTTAAATTTTATTAATTTCTAAAGGATAAGTTAACTTGGGAAAATTTAGGTTTTTAATAGTTGTAAATAAAATCCAGAAAAATATCATGTTTTAGCTGGCTTATCCTCGCTTCTAGCTGCTTGAGTATGAAGATATACGATTTTTGGTTAAATAAGGATTTGATTGGTCTACTTATGTTAAAAACTTCAACCATATTCACCATCACTTAAGAACTTGCCAAATAATAGCTTTTCATGTCTGATTTTAATTAAAGCTACCTCTCTTCCCCCAAAACCCGTCTCTCCCAGTCAAGATCCCGACCAGGCCCTCCAGCACGTTCAGAAATCTAGGATTTTTGAAGGAGGAAATAGAGGGTTTGGACGAGAGGAAATAGGGGTGGAGTGGGAGTGGGGTTTTGGAGGGGAGGAAGAAAGTGGGGATGGAGGAGAAGTGGGTGGGGATTGGTGTGATGGAGATAAGGGGGTGAGGGGTGAAGTTTGGAATGGTTTAAGAGGGGTTTGATGCTGGATTTATTAGGTGATTATAAATAGTTAGTGGGAATAACCGTTTTTTTAGGATTGTCACTTAGTTTTATCAAACTCTGGATGCAGTCATTTCATGTTTCTCAAATTAAAGTATCTTTTTGTTTGATTGAAGCTACATATAAAAATGATTAATAATTAATGAATCAAATGAGGATATTAAGCTGGCATACCTTGAAATGTGGGAGACCTTGTTCTGAAGTTTTACTGGAGAGAAAAATCTTCCATTTTTATATCTTAGTGAGTACAACTTCTTCTTCACGAATTGGCTCATCTGGATATGCAAAATTTTAGCATCAGGAGAAGTACAAAATTTTCGTCAGGTTTTTTGTGTTCTTTCATCATTAGAAAATAGGTTCCTTCTTTTCTTTCACTTCTTTGAACTTTTATTAAGAATAACCTTTGGAGGAAACGTCCGTATTCTATCTAAGCTGAAGCAGGATGTCCTGTTTTCATGTGTTTCATTTCTGTTTCATTGCTATAGAAAGATTAGTCCATGCTTAAAGTCTTATATTTTACCCACAAAGCAGTTTACCCAAAGTTAGCAAGATACAAAATGAAGATCTCAGAAATACTTACCTTATAAAAATCAACTCTCCTAACCAGCTTTAATTTGGTAGAGAAAGGAATTGGGTCTCTTTGATTCAGTTTGAAATCTCTCTCATCATTTAATTCCAGATCCTTAATACCTTTATCACTATCCATTTTTAATCTCAGTACTCTTTTAATCATATTTTATATATTTTCGTTTCAACGAGTATATATTTATATGGGGTTTTGGGGTTTTGGGGTTTTGGGG